CCAGGTGGCCCTGGGGTCCAGGGCCCTGGGGTCGAGGGGGCCTCCTCTGGCCCTCTCCCTGGTCTGCCCCTAGGGGCGCTCTGTTGGTTGGCCGTCTGCCGACTGACGAGATCCTGGGCTCCCAGCATCCAATTCGGTCCGGGGCCTCAGAGGCTTCGGATGGACGCCCTGGAGCTGCAAGTAGCTCGGAGGCGGCCGACAGTAGCGTGCAGCAGCAGGTCTCTTCAGAGCATGGGTCGAGTTCTGACCATAATATTCCAACCTTCCACATTCGTGAGGCCACGTGGGAGCGAGTCCGTCAGGAGGTAGGTTTTATGTCTGGCTCTCCGTCCCTTGACCCTCTTTGCCCTGCCCTGCGTTCCTCCGTAGCATTTAAGCTCAGACCAGCGCAGTTGTCTCTAGTTTCAGGACTCTACGCCAGTTGGGTGTCTTCTGTCGAATCCACGATTGCCAGTCACCATGATGTCTCGCTGCCCGCTGGACCCCCCAGATCAGCAGGAGTGCATTTCGCGGTGCAGGATCTGAAGATGCCAGCCAAGAGCCGTACCTCGCCCCTGCGCGATCGGCTGAGTGGTTGGTGGACGCAACTACACACACTACTGTATGCGCTGGCGCATCACCGTCGAAAGAACAACGGAGAGGCCCAGCAACGACGTTATCGTGAATCAGTCAAGAGGCACGTTGAGGCATGTCCTGAGCGTGCACATACTGTTCTTTTACCAGGCAAAGATCTCGAGTGGCATGAGTGGCAAGCTGCCCTTTCAGATATTGGTGCGTGCTCCGTGTGCAAGCTGGAGGGCCTCGTACATGGAGCTAAACGGATCTGCAGTCGGGCTCAGAGGAGAGCCACCCAGCAGTCCTTGTGTGAGTTTCAGAAGTTTGTGACTGGCGAGAAGTCGTTGGGGATATTGCATCGATCTCTGTGTCCTACGCCTCTGGTGGATCTTGAGTATGAGCACCAGGGCCGTGTTATTTGCCGCCCTCGCGACATCATCGATGCCAAGTGAACCAGGTGGCGCGACAAGTGGGCGCCCGCCCCACTCGGCGAGGCCTTGATCAGAAGAGTTTTTCCAGAAGGTTGAGGACGCTGTGGACGGTGACCCACTGCAGCCTATCAATGTGCGTGACATCAGGGCGGCGCTGAAGCAGATGAAGGCATCCGCAGGACAGGGGGTCGACTTCTTATCGCCAGGTGGTCTAGAGAGGTTGCCAGACACAGCGCTTGCTGAACTCCCGCTGCTCTTCGCAGCGTGTGAGGCTTGTTTGTGCTGGCCTGGCCAGCTTCTTTTGATCATGGGGAGGATGCTCCCCAAGAAAGTGCAAGGAGATCGGATCATCGGACTGGTTCCGCTTCTCGGCCGCCTCTGGTCCTTGATCAGGGAACCGCTGGTGCGAGGGTGGTCGGCTGAGACGGAGGAACGTTGGGACGCTGCGGTGCGTGGCAATTCCAGTGTGAGAGAAGCGTACCTCCGCGCTATTCAGGAGGAGGTATGTGCCCACTTGAACGTTCATGTGGGCCATGGCTTAATTGACATCGATGGCTTCTAGGACTCGATCGAGTGGCCATATTTAGTTGATTCCGCGCTGGAGATGCAGTTCCCACCAGTGATTTTATACATGGAGCTTCTCCAGTGCGTGTCGCCACGGGTGCTCAGTCAATTGGGGGCGACATCCGCCCCATTTCAGCCCGCGCGCAGCATTGTCCAAGGGCTGCTGTCGGGCACTAGATTCGGTCGGACGCTCGCTCATTTCGCGCTGAACCGGGTCGTCGAGGATCATCCGTTGGCGAGCCATCGGGTGTGGGTCGATGACCTCCCACAACAGGTTCGAGGATCACGTGCACACGTCCGTCGCGGGCTGAAGGCCTGCATCTTGGACACGTGCAGGTCCCTGGAGGCCAGCAAGCTGCGGGTGTCCCCGAAGTCGGTGGTCATGTGTACTGATGTTGCTGATGCGAGATGGGTGGCTCGTGCTGTTCGACAGGCGGGGTACCACATCACGGCTCAGTCTCAGGCGAGCTTCCTTGGAGTGGACTTCAGTTGCGGACTTCGAGTTGCACGCTCCACTCGCAACAAGAGGGACGCTAATCACAAGGGCATGAGCTTGAAGATCGGGAGGTTCGCCAAGGCGGCGCGTCGCTACAAGGCAACGCGCCGCCTGGAGCTCCAGGGCGCGCAGGCTGCAGGCACTTACGGCTTCCAGGTGCACGGGGCCTTCGGCCAGAGGCTGGTGCAGGCACGGCGACGGCTGGGGCTTGCGTGCGCGGCGCCGGCGCGGGGTAGGTGCCTGGCAACGCTGCTGGCGATCCGTGCGCCGCAGCGGGGCCCAGGCGTCAAGCTCCCAGTGCAGTGCCTAGACATGTATCTATCCATTTGGCGTGACCATCCTGATGTACGGTCGGGAGTATCTCGTATTTGGCAGGCAGTTGTGGAGCAGCTTCGAGGAGTTCCAGAACGGCACCGCACCAAGTATGTCCGAAGCCCAGTGTCAGCTGCTATTCTACATCTTATCGAGTCGGGATGGTCTGTGTCCTCGGCCACGGGGTGGGGTATCCCAGAACCCCACGAGTTTGCAGGTGATGAGTGGAGGTTTGATGATGCGATGTATACTGGAGTGAAGGCCTTGGACACTCATGCAGGTTTCCTCAAAGATTTTTCGGATGTGCTGCAGCGTCGGTATTGGCAACAGGCTAACCAGCACTATTGTGGTGAAGGCTTGCAGGACGGATCGGATGTCGACTCCTATCGAGTTTTGATTCAGCATTTACATGATGCACCACAGATTGGCCATCGGCTCAGTGAGTTATGTTGTCGATTGCAGTTGACAGGACGTGGACGTGTGCAAGGAAGAAGGCAGAGATCCCACGTTTTGCTGGCACTGACAAGTGCCCTCGTTGCCAGCTTGAGCCTGAGACGCCTCTTCATCGCAATTGGACGTGCCGTTATAACACCAATAAGGAGGCGTACACCATGACAGAAGACCTAGTGTATCAGGCCACGGTGCAAGCGGAGGCGGAGCCAGCTTTTTGGCTAAGGGGACTGCTGCCTGCCCCATGGGTGGCTGTCTCGCCTCCTGCCCACGCCGAGGCTTGGGTAGTGACAGGTCCTTTTGAGCTGGGCCCAGGATGCCTCGGACATGGCACGGGCCAGGCTCCTTTGCTGCTCTTTGGCGACGCCAGCGGCGGCCCCGACACCGCCATCACCAAGTTTCGTCGTGTCGGGTGTGCCATCGCACTTTTCCATGAGCTGGAGCCCACGGTGTCCATAGCTGGGACCATCAGTGGGCCCCTCTGCGGCGACAGGCAGGCTGTTCCCCGCGGAGAGCTAAGGAGTCTGCTGCTAGCCGTTTGGGCTACGAGCGGCTTCATCACATATGTAACAGATTGTGAGCCAGTCATCAAAGGCTGGTATGCCAGACGTTTCGAGTATCCGAGCGGGCCTGATGCGGACCTGTGGGCCCAGCTCGGACAGCTCATGCAGAGTCGTGGTTTCAACTCAGTCTCTCTGATTTTCGTGCACTCCCACCTCGGGGTTGCGGAGATCCAGGCTGGTGCGGCTCCGAGATGGGCGGTCACTGGCAACACGATTGTTGATGTTGTGACGGGAGCTGCGGCCAACGCTGCTCGCTTGCCAGAGTCTCTCCGCCAACGTATTCACATCCACGAGCGGAGAGCGAGGCTTGTGCGTCTGCGCCTGCTGAGGGCGACGATCGACGCGATGGAGGCCGATGCGGCCCCTGGCGCTCAGGAAAAAGCATCATCCTCCTCCGTCCCCCGTCCTCCCTCTGCTGCTGCCCTCTCCCTCTTCTCTACCTCTCACGCTCTCGATGAGTGGGAAGAGGTGCACTTGTTGTGGAGGATCGGCCAGCAGGGCTGCTGCAACAAAGTGGCGCCAATCAGAGTGTTTCCAGCCCGTCAACTGTAATGGGTCCATCCTTTATAAGCCCCCCCTGGCACGTCTGCACATAGCGGGGGGGTGGGTGGATCAATCTCATGCCATGCAGTATCATTCACATCTTAAGCTCTGGTATTGTAAGTTGTGCGGTTCTTTTGCCTCCGAGGTCCTACGTGAACTTGGCAAGGTCTGTACCAAGCGTGTCACCACACATCGAGCTGTATAGATCGATAGGAATTCGCGTGGTTTATGGCCTAAGGTTTTAAGTGCATGTGAGAAGCAGAGCCGTGGTCGTGTATATTCATGCCTTCATGTGTAATTCGTCACGTAATGTTGGCACAGTTGACTCTGTCACATGGTCATACTCATACTCATACTCATACTCCTCCTCCCTCCTCCTCCTCCTCCTCCTCCTCCTCCAGTTCCTCCTCCTCCTCCTCCTCCTCCTCGTCTCATCCTCCTCCTCCTCTCCTACCCTCCAAAGTTTTGGGGAAGCCAGAGAGCTGACCGAAACCACTCCAAGTAGATGACGATGAATTGGATGGTTGGACCACATGAGGACGAGATGGGAGCTGCATAACCACAGGCTTCATTTTGACTTAGCCACTTCGCTGCAGTTGTGCGACATTCCGCTCAAGACGGCTAATCAATTTCAACCTCTGGGTCAGATCTAGTCCAGAAGCTCCAGTCCATATCCATCGGCGCCCTTCCAGTTACTCGCCACTCCTTAGCGGACCTCAGGCAACTCAATGCCGCGTGACATTTGCGATGGGCCGTGTGCAATAATCGAGCCACGCTAATGCCTCTGTGCCCAAAAAATCACTGACATCATGTCGTAAGGGAACGTGGACTCGCTATGGCACGTACGCGTGCTGCTGACCACATCGAGCCCCATGGTGCTGATATACAGTTTGAAGAACACTAGCGTCATGGGAGCAGGGGGGAGGAGGAGGACGACGACGAGGACGGCAACGACGAGCATGACGGCCGCATGACGGCCAGTGCAGGGGTCCTCTTTTCCTCTCGGGGCGCCCACGGTCTGATCGCTGTGCGTGGCCATGGTCTGCCCGACGATGGTCGTGGACACCACGCCCGAGCTGGGCCTCCTCACTCGCCCAGGGGCGACATCTCGGGGCCAGAGGCCTCTCGGGAGAGGCACAGGGCGCCCTCCGCCTGCACCCGCCCCCCCGCCTTCTGCGGCAACCCATGGGAGCTTCCCATGTCGTCGTGGTGACTCTTGCGAATCGACGCTGGCCGAAGCTGGCTGACGCTAATCGACGCTTGCCGACGCCAGCCGACGCTACATCGATGCGAACCGACGGTACATCGGCGCTGTCTCATCGATTACGGCTAGTGCGCCCTAAATATGGGATTCCGGGGACGTGCGTAGCTCCTCTGAATTGCTGCCGAGCCCCCTCCTCCCGACACAGGGTCCCGCTCCCTCCCAGTCGGCGCCGGAACTCGTCGGAGATCCTGGCCAAGACGCGCTACGACCCGCACGATTCGGAGGAGAAGGAGGAGGAGGGCGACGACGACGTCGACGACAACGACGACGACGACGACGAGGGCACGAGCACGGAGGGGGAACGAACCGAACGACGAGGCGGCAGGGCGGCGAGTCGCGCTGGGCTCTCGCGCCCACATGCGCCCCCCGCGCAACCACCCCCACACCAGGGCCCTGGGCGGCGACTGCCTCCCCGTGTCAGCATCCCCCTCCTCCAGCCTCATCCGTCAGCCTCCTCCGTCCTTATCCTCTCGCAGCCTCCTCCTACTGCCTCCGCAATATCCTACCTCCCCCGCCCCTCATTCCCCCTCCTTCCCGTCGCGCTCCACACACGCCCATCCATCTCCTCTCTTCTCCTCCTCCTCCTCCTCCTCCTCCTCCTCCTCCTCCAGAGTGGCGCCGCTCCGCAGAAGTTTGAGGAGAAGCCGGGGTCGCAACCGGGATCCAAAACGCAGGGCCCCTGTCTACACCCTCCTTCCCTCTCGAGCTCTCGGGGAGATGGCTGATATCGTCTATGCATATGACGCGCTCCGTCGGACACGTTCCAGCATCGGCTCAAGCCTATTATGTAGAGGACGTTGGGAAGTCGATTCCAAATACGTATGTGCAGGCTTGTCAGTCATGCGTTCGTCTGATCGAATAATCGCGTATACATCTTATGTCCTGTCTCGCATCCAATCGGCCGGCTTCTGGATATTACCTGAACAACGCTTGAGCTCGGTCATCTCCCGAACATCCTTTTCTTATTCACGAGCGTAGGACCTGGCACCGTGCAAGTGGCTGACCGAGCAGTCGAGCGTATCGGGCCAATGTTGCTCGCCAAGAAGTCCATAGCAATGCTGCAACTCGCGTGTCCGTGCGCAATCCTCCCACGCACCGCAGGTTAAATCTGATGCCCCCTTTCACAACTAAAGCAACAAATAATAAGACACAACATTTTGAGAAACGGATACGTGATACATCCTGGAACATGCTCTAGCTTTCGGATCGCACATATTCTGCTACATTAAGTACCTACCCAAACAGTCCTCATGCAATCCTTGTTTTAAGCCTGGTGGGTAGCGGACTTGGGAATAAACACGCATCCATGTACATAAACCTATGTATACATGTATACACACTCATACGTGCACACGCTCTAAATGGCCGCGCCCAAGTGTAGCGCTAAATTGGAGCGGCCCCAAATCTGGAGCCCTTCCCGGCCCACATGTGGTGCTTATTTCAGCGTCCTGTATGTCAGAGCTACGACTGCTGCTCGCCGCGAATGAGCCAACGTGTTTGCGACCCGACATGCGTTCGCGTGAGCGGGAGCCAGGGAGGCAACAGGAACATCGGGGTGAGAGGAGGGGGGGGCATGTGATTGGATGGTCGAGAAAGGGGGTGGTGGAGGAAGATGAGGAGGACGAGGACGAGGAAGAGGAGAAGGAGGAGGAGCAGGAGGAGGAGGAGGAGGAGGAGGAGGAGGAGGAGCAGGAGGAGGAGGAGGAGGAGCAGGAGCAGGAGGACGAGGAGGAGGAGGAGAGGAGCAGGAGCAGGAGCAGGAGGACGAGCAGGAGCAGGAGGAGCAGGAGGAGGAGGAGGGAGGAGGAGGGGCTGCCTCTATTTCCCTCTCTCCAGGCCTGTCGCGAGATCCCGCCGGAGGATATGGTTGCGACCTCGCAGTCGCGGCCGACCTGCAGCGTCACGACCTCGCCGTCGAAGTGGCCGCCCTCCAGCCCGCCCCCGGCGGCGTCCGGACCGAACCCGACGGCCGCCAGGGTCATGTCCTCGCTGGCGGTGCGGAAGCCGCGCGGCCGCTGGATGGTGGGGCGCACGGTCCGCCGGCTGATGCGGTCCTGCACCACCCAGGGGAGCAGCGAACCTCTCGGGAGCTCCGGGCGGGGGCGGGGGCACGCGCTGCCACGGGGGGTGCCCAGGGGAGGCGAGGGGGCGGCAGGAGAGGCCGAGTCCAGGCGGAGGAAGCCCAGACGGAGACCGAGCGCTCCGTGTGGACTCACTCCGTGCCTGTACTGCCACCCTCCGGATGAGGAGGGGGTTGGGGGGAGGGGAAGGAACCAGCTGCTGGCAACTGCGAGGGGTGTGATGATGGCGATGATGGTGGCGCACCCTCGAGCTGGCGACGACGCGTGATGACGATGTTGCGCCGCGATGTGATGTCACGATCGGCGATCGGCCCCGCTATCGATCTCACTCGATCGACCCCACTATCGACTTCACGGCCAGTCTTAGCGTCGATGGGTCCAGCGATCGATCCCACTATTGATCTCACAGTGAATGGCGCTGAGCACGATCGGGATACCATCGGGGCACCATCGGGCCAAATCAGTGCCGACACCACTGTGATGCGATGGATGCTTGCTGACTGTGGTGGTTGCGTGTTGGCGACGTCATGTTTTTCCCAACCATCCTGTGGTGTTGGGTCCTCGTTTTGAAGAGACAGCGCCCCGCGTCCTCACTACTCTCCTCCTCCCCCTCCTCCCTCTTCCCTGTGTTTCATCATCATCACCCGTTTCAGCACACCCCTCACCCGTTTCGTGGCCCCATAGGGAGCTCCACCGAGGCCCCAACCGGACCACCCGCATGCGTCACGCACCACCCATTACAGCTTTTCGTGGCCCCATAGGAAGCTCCACCGAAAGTCCCAATGGGACCGCCCGCATGCGTCCCGCACGCCCAGTACAGCGTGTCGTGGCCCCCAAGGGAGCTCCACCGAAGGTCCCAATGGGACCGCCCGCGTGCGTCACGCACCACCCTGTACAGCGTTTTGTGGGCCCATAGGGAGCTCCACCGAAGGCCCCAGTGGGATCGCCCGCATGCGTCACGCACCACCCAGTGCAGCGCTTCGTGGCCCCATAAGGGAGCTCCACCGAAGGTCCCAGTGGGACCGCCCGCATGCGTCCCGCACCACCCAGTACAGCGTTTCGTGGCCCCATAATGAACCCCACCGAAAGCCCCAGTGGGATCGCCCGCATGCGTCACGCACCACCCAGTACAGCGTTTCGTGGCCCCATGACACCGACGGCCCCAGTGCCACCGCCCGCATGCGTCACGCACGCACAGTACAGCGTTTCGTGGCCCCACAGGGGGCTCTACCAACGGCCCCAGTGCCACCGCCCGCATGCATCACGCACCACCCAGTACAGAGTTTCGTGGCCTTATAGGGAGCTCCACCGACGGCCCCAGTGCCACCGCCCGCATGCGTCGCGCACCACCCAATACAGCGATTCGTGGTCTCATAGGTAGTTCCACAGACGGTCCCAGTAGCACCGCCCGCATGCGTCACGCACCACCAAGTACAGCGTTTCGTGGCCCCAAAGGGAGCTCCACCGACAGCCCCAATGGGACCGCCCGCATGCATGCGTCCCGCACACCCAGTACAGCGCTTCCTGGTTTTATAGGGAACCCCCCACCGAAGGTCTTAGTGGGACCGCCCGCATGCGTCACGCACCACCCAGTACAGCGTTTCGTGGGCCCATAGGGAGCTCCACCGAAAGTTCCAGTGGGACCGCCCGCATGCGTCACGCACACCCAGTACAGCGCTTCGCGGCCCCATAGGGAGCCCCACCGAAGGTCCCAGTGGGACCGCCCGCATGCGTCCCGCACTCCCAGTACAGCGTTTCGTGGTCCCATAGGGAGCCCCACCGGTTCGTGCCCCCAAAGAGAGCTCCTCCGAAGGCCCCAGTGGCAAAGTCCACATGCGTTTCCACCACCCAGCACACCGTTTCGCGGTCCATAGGGAGCTCCACCGAAGGCCCCAGTGGCAATGTCTGCATGGCGTTCGAAGATAAGGTGTTTTGCTGTGGCCCGTTTTGATTGTTAGTGCGGCCCCGTGGGT